GGGAAGACACTGCCTTTGTGTCAGGGAATTGGTCTCAGGACCCACTGCAATCCCTTTGTCTGCTGTGTTTTCGGCAGAACATTGGAACTGTTTAGCCAAGGTCAAGAAAAACAATATCCAACTGCATTCCCTGGAAAGAAGCTCCTCGAAGTTTAACCTGTCTCTGGTTGTTGTATTGTAGGCTCCAAACTCTGTATTCTTTACAAACACAGTAATCCAAAATGAAAAACATCCTGACAGTTTTAAGTTGAATATAACATAGACCAAATATAATATAAGTTTAATATAACATAGGCTGGAGCATTGCTTCTATGAGGACAGGCTGAAGAGTTGGGGTTGTGCAGCCTGGAGAAGAGATGGCTCTGGGGAGACCTTAGAGCACCTTCCAGTACCTAAAGGAGACCAGAAAGAAAGCTGGAGAGGGACTTTTTACAGTGATATAGAGCAAGGGGGAATGGCTTTAAACTGACAGATTTAGATTAGATATTAGGAAGAAATTCTTTACTGTGAGGGACTGGAACAGGTTGCCCAGAGAAATTGTGGATGTCCCATTCCTGAGTGTGTTCAAGACCAGGTTTGATGGGGTTTTGAGCAAGATGATCTAGTAGGAAGTGTCCCTGCCCATGGCAGGGGGTTGGACTAGATGATCTTTAGAGTCACTTCAACCCAAGCTGTTCTATGGTAAAAATGAGTGGCTTTTGCCTACTAGTGTTAGAAAAATTGAAGTTTTTATCTGAATTCTCAGTAGAGAAAGAAATATCCAATGGGCTTGAATTGGTGAGTAATATCTTAATCCTTTGGGTACAAAAACATAACAGGAGCATAAATAGGAGAAGGTGAATGCAATTTACCTGTCTTCTCTTGAAATGAAAGCCATTTGGAGCAAGGTGATCAGACTGGAAAAAGTCCCAAGTCTGCCTGTGTAGGGCCTTATCCAGAAGGATGTACAAGACTTTGCCCAATAGTCTGACCAAAGCCTGTGTTTGGGCACTGGTCAGAGCTCATGGTGTGCTTGTACCTGGTGAATTGCTCACCATTACCTATGGCAGTCCCAGGTGTCACTGGTGTGTACCTACCTACACACCGCTGCTTTTCAACTGTGCTCTGCAGTGAGTCAGATGAGGCTGTACAAGGTGACATTTCATCTAAAGCTGCTGCATATGTAGCCTTTGGACTAATCAAAATTGCTGGTGCTTTTTGTGTGACAAAGGAGTATGGCGTCCAAGATAAACCAAGGAGAAGAGATCTGGGTATGCAAGCCTTCATTTAAAAAAGGCATCTTTCATCTCGCTGACAGTGAGGTTCCTGCAGCGCTTTGATTGCTCTTTAATTATGCCTGTTTTTCCTGGTTTGTTTGAAAGACAGATCTTGTTAGAAAAAGGTGCTGTGTGGAAAGAACTTGGCTGTCTTTGCTGCCCTTCCTTGAGGGCACACAGCAGAGCTGTCGGATTAATTTTTTTTTCTGCATTATTAAAATGGAAGATTGTTTTTCGTAGATTTGAACGTAGGCACGGTGTGTTCCTCCCAGCTTATGTGAGGAGGGGTGTGAGGGGTCAGGTGGTTAAAGTAGGCTTCAAAGTCATGAGGTCTGTCTTCTTCCCACGTTAACTTCCAGCATGATCCCAGAGGAGGTGCTTTAATCCTTCTGCCTTCGGTCTTTTGTTGTTTGCAGCCAGGCCACTGTTCATCTGTCCCAAAGGCTGCAGGAATCCCAGCCTGGTGCTGGGGAAAGGAGGCTCTAGTGTGTTGTGGTGAATGCCAGGTGAGGGGGGTTAGCAGTTCGTACCAGCTCACACTTTTTGTGGTGTTTGGTGTTTCATCTGAGACCCCACTGTTGTGGAGCCGTTTTTCTCAATGAGCATCTCAGCTTTCGTGAGCAAGAGTTAGAAAAAGCATGGAAAAAATTAACAAAAAGGAAAAGAAAAATAAAGCCTGAGTTGGTTGGAGAGAAAAGCCTAGATGTATGATTCAAATATAGACTAAAGGCTTAACTACCAAGCAAGCAAAATAACTTGAGAACAGGTTTCCAATCCCTTTAGAAATCTCAATTTTAAAGAAAATCTGGGCAACTTTCAAGGGCTTTACTCATGTATGTAAGTGCCCAGGCTTGACAGTGCTCTATTTTTAAGTGCTGTCTTTATGTTGAATCTTGGGAGGCAAGATGAAAATGGTTTTTTTGGTTGTTTTTTGGTTGTGTGTGTTTTTTTTTTTTTTTAAGTAACAACAAATCTTAATATAGCTGAGAATGCGGAACTGCCCTTAGAAAAATAGGTTGAACACATGAAAAGGAATCTTGCTCAGCAGGCTGAAGACGCAGAACAACTTCTGCGGTTATGTTTTTCTTTCTTCTGGCAATTTTGGGGTGGGGATGTAGCTGGCACAGTCACTTTGCCTTATGTTCCTTTTAGAATGCAAGTCAAATCTTCCTGAACAGAAAGCACCTGGCTGAAACTGTTTTAGCCCAAACTGAAAAAGCTGTTTGCTAAAACTCTTGTTTTGTGAAACTTGAGGCAACCTGAAGCTGCTCAAAAATAGGAGTTACGGGATGAGTAGGGAGAAGTATATGGTCCTTTTGTACTGGCTCAGTACAAAGAGAAGACAGGCTGGTGGCTCCCTGTTGCTTCAGAGAGGTGATTAGGTTTTAGTTGTCATCTCCTGCCTAGAGTCCTGAAGACTTAAATGGTATGAAAATGAAGTCAGCTGCTTGAGGCCAAAGCTAATCAAATGAGGAGACTCTAAAGCAGGAGGATAATCTTTGTCATCTGACAGGCAGTCCTAAATTCTCATGGGATACCCATACAGCTCCACTGTAGTAACATGCATCTGTCATGCTGAGACACTTCGACCTTCAGCCCCTTGTGGTGCATGGGCTTTATGTGGCTGGTCAGCCGTAAAAACTGAAAACAGAACTGAAGTCTTAAAAGAGAAGTGACAACACATGCTAGAGAACTGGTGACTGGTGTTCAACACTTGAGTCTGCTGGTGTCCAGTGATGTGAAACTCAACTGAGGGATTTCACAGAAATTTTGAGGTGGTGGTAGACCTGCTGACATGGTTGCTTGGGCATGTTTTCCTTAAAGAATGAAGTAATTTTTTCATACAGAAATGAGTTATACATGAATATTCAGTGTAGGATAATTTAAAATTAAAATTTAAAATGTAAAAACATGCAAACACCAGAGCTGAGGGTCTTTTAAAAAACAAAACCCCTACTCAGGGAAGGCAATTATTCAGGCTGTGCATACATCTGATTACCTAGCTCCTAAGCCGGTGAGAGCAGCTCTTCAAACTCCTTGAAGCTTCCCCCCAGGGTGTGCCAGTGCTGCAGGCAGAATGCCCTTGCAAAGCCAAAGGTAGCAAAAAGGGAAGGCGGGTGGATAAAAGCTGGCAAAGCCATCCTTTGAGTTGGTCTGGGGAAGACTGAGAAGAGCTTATTTTAAAATAATTTTCCTGGCTGTGATTTGAGATGTATTTAACACTTTCACAAAAAGTTGTCGTGGAACAGCACAGGTTTGGGAGAAGAGAGAGAAGACACTTGATTGCACTATTCTTCCTCCCTGCCCTGTCTTTTTATACGGCAAAAAGATGGAAAAAACAACCATGGCGGGGGAAAAAACAATTACTTTATAACCCTCATCTGGTGATAGTTACAACATTTCCATTTCCCCTCTTTTGTTAAAACTTGTAAAGGGTGTTGCAGAACCTGTGCGAAGAGGACCGCGATAAGCGGCGCTCAGCAAAACCCAAGCCCATAAGCTCTTCCGAGCCTGGCGTGAGCCTTTGCAGCTCCGGGAGGTGGCACCAGCTCACTGCGGAGCCTCGGACGGCGCTTCCCGGAAGCACCACGATCCCTGAGCCATCGGGTCATGGGATGGTGCTGCTGCAAGATACCTGGGAAAGTGCTTCTGGCTCCCAGGGCTTTTGATTATTTTTGTGAAGCAGTGAGCTCCCAGCCTCTATTCTTGGGGTAGGGAAGAGAGGAGTCATTGCAGGTCTTGGTGGCTCGTAAATTCCTGGTAATTAATCCTTGTAGCTTCTTCTGAGACGTGCTGGTAACGGGCATTGTGCCTGTAGAAAAGCCTGGCACGCTGCAAGTCCATGTTCTGGATAGAAACTGCTCTGATCTATCTGTTCATACCCACATAAGGATACTTATTCCTTCTATTAAGCAGCATTGGACTTGTTCTCTGCCTGCATGTGTGTTTTGGCTTCTTAGTTTTTTCTTGTTTTTTTAGACCATTATGAAAATTAAATTGGATATGTTTAAAATCACAGTAATTTCCCCTGTAATTCAGTTTTTTATAAGAATAATACAAATATTTCTCTTTTCCTTTCAATCTGAATGTTAACAGGATATTGCAGGTCTTACTGAGGAATATTCAAAGTAGTATTCAACTTCTTAGTATGAAGCCCAGAAACTTTTACTGAAATAATGGCATTATTCTTGTGTTGAAAGATAACGTGATGCCTAATATTTTTAAAAAACTTTTAATAACATTTACAAAAAACCAACATAAAACCCCTCCAACCAAGTAGTTTCAAGCATAAACTGTGGTAACAGCAGCTGATGTAAAACTCAGGAAAAGAGTTGTTTTAACTTGCCCAAAGTAGCATAAATTTTTCAAAGCATGGTTGTGTCCTTAACAGGGTGTTAAACACTGAGCAGTGAGGATTCCTTCTGCTAAAAATTTGATGATATTTGAGATTTCTTAGGTGGAAAAATCTGGGAAAGATGGGTGGAGTCTTCCTAAAGTTTGGAGAGTTTGTTGAAATCTATTCTGGACAAAGTGGCTTTGTCCCCTCTAATGGTTTATATAAAGACTAAAGAATGTTGTGGGACTTGGGGATTTTTACCTGATGTCTCAGAATAAAGAAGGTCCTGCTTGTAGTGGCAAGGACCAGCATTTAGGTCTCAGCAGTCACCGAGTAGTCCCTTGCTCAGGGACTCAGCCAGGAGTCCATGTGTCACTCCTGATGGGTTCTGCTTTCTTCTTCTGCAGGTTTTCATTTCTGTGAACTGCCTCAGCACAGACTTCTCCTCTCAGAAGGGAGTTAAAGGCCTACCCCTGAATCTTCAGATTGACACCTACAGCTACAATAACAGGAGTAACAAACCTGTCCACAGAGCCTACTGCCAAATTAAAGTCTTCTGCGACAAGGTAAGGTTGGGTCACTGTGCCAGGGACTGTTTGGGAAAGGCTGTTTCACAGCTTAGCTGCTTTTTTTTTCTCCCCCTAATTCTGTCACTTGCTATTTTGGCTCACTGAAAAGTCCTGTCTGTGTCTAGTCTTTCCAAGGAAAAAATTTCAACCCCTTCTCCTTGGCTCGTAGATGTTGTGATGACCTCAGATAAATTTGCTGCTCTCAAAATGCTGGAGTGCTGAGAAGTGTTCCTGAGCATTGACTTTGGAGAAAGGTCAGTCAGTGGCAGACTGACACTGGGAAGTCCTGCAGAGTACCTTCAGCAGGACAAATCATTGCCAGTGACTGGAGCAAGGAAGAGAAGGCTTGTCTTTTTGCTCAGGCTGTGTTGTCTTGGTCCTTTGAAATTTCTTTATGTGTTCTTATTGCATTTGTTATTAAAAAAAACACGAAACAACAAAACCAAACCAGTAACTTGCAGATCTTGTGAGCAGAAAATGTATCAGTGTGTGATACGTTAGTGTAGCAAAGCCCCTTTAAAAGCTGGATGGGTGCTGTGGTTTGACTGCTCTGCCTTAGGAATTTAGCCCACAGGGAATTGATGCCTGTCCCAAAGCCACTGCTCATCAGAAGTTGTGAAAAAAACAGTAGGAGCTGAGCTGGAATCAGCTGTAAAAGCTTAACTGCAAAGAAAGGCTGTTTCCCAGGCTTTGTAACCTGTTTCTGCTGAGTCTTTTGAAGCACCAGGGCAAGTAATGTGCAATGTTGCTATTTCCAGAGTGACCAAGATTGTCCTAGTCAGAGATAAATGCTTCCTGGACTTCCTCAGTCCTTCCTTTGATTGCTGTGAATTGTGTGGAGTCCCTATTTTGCTGATATCCTACTTGATTAGAGCTTCTCATTCTTTGCATGCAGACTCCGTCTTCATAGGACAGACTTTTACAAGTGATATCTCAAATATCTCTGTGCAGCTGTAGGTCTGAGGTGGCTTGTAACCCTCACTCTCTAGTCCTGTGCTGGCTTTGCCCTGGTGATCCCCCAGGACACAGACCCAAAGATTCATCTCACACACCACTGTTCTGCCTCCACTTACTGCCCAAAATACGCAGAGCCCTCTGCACTGTCCCCCTGCTGTAGCATCCCATGACTCACCCTGCCATGTTCTGTTGTCCATCTATCTGCCTTTAAATAGGCCTCTCTGCTTTCCTGCATGGCTGGGAGAGCTGCCTGTAGCTGCTCCCATTGTGATGCTTTCAGCAAAGAATCTACAGGGAGATAGCAAAGGCTTTCCAGAGCCATCTTAAAGACTTGCCAGTAAGCCTAAGAAGCTTTAATCTTATGGGCTTTCTTCAGGTCTTTTTTTTTCCTCCTCCTTTTTTTAAATGTTCTTCTTTAAGATGAGACTGAGGCAAGCGTGTCATCTAAAGTTCTTTCATTAAAGTAATCTTGTAGTCTTGTGTGTTATCAACCTGTGTTCTCTTACAATACAGTGAATATGAACTTGCTGCAGGGCAGGGGGGGGATCTTTTACTCCTGAGTTTTTCAGTCAGTTACTGACACCATGCTAAAATTACTGACAGGCTTGTGCTACTACTAAGAAGACAGATCAGTTAATAAAAAGGCAGATGTGTACTTAGTACATACCTTGATGGAGACCATTGGAGTCTGTCAGAAATTTCAGCAAATCTAGTAGTACAGGAATGCCAGTGCAAGTTCTATTTTCTTTTGGGATTTTGACTTAGTCTCCTGTGCTTTATTCCTCTAGACACTGCAAATTGTACCTGAATTAAAAGAGGAGAGAAGGAAGGAGAAATGCCAGTCAAAATCTGAACAGGATAATAAAAAATAAGACTGAATCTAATCTTAAAGCACCTTCCCTCTTCCCCCACTTCTTTCTGGGCTCAGCTTCACTCCCTAATTATCTCCCTCCTCCCCACAGCAGCACATGGGAACAGGGAATGGAGGTTGCAGTCAGTTTATTACATGTCTGCTGCTCCTTCCTCCTCAGCAGGAGAACTCACACTATTCCCCTGCTGCTCTGTTGTGGGTCCCTCCCACAGGACACAATCCTCCACAAACTTCTCCAACACGAGTTCATCCCAAAGACTGCAGTTCTTCACAAACTGCTCCAGTGTAGGTCCCCCATGGGGTCACAAGTCCTACCAGCAAACCTGCTCCAGTGTGGGCTGCTCTCTCCAAGGGGCCACAGGTCCTGCCAGGACCCTGCCTGCTCCAGCAGGGTCTTCCCACGGAGTCACAGCTTCCTTCGGGCATCCACTTGCTCTGGTATGGGGGTCATCCATGGGCTGCAGGGGGACAGCCTGCTCACCATGGATTGTACCACAGGCTGCAGGGGAACCTCAGCTCCAGAGCCTGGAGCACCTTCTCCCCTTCCTTCACTGACCTTTGTCTGCAGAACTGTTTCTCTCACATATTCTCCCTTGACTCTTCTGACAGCTGCTGCACAGAGGGTTTTCTCCCTTTCTTAAATTCATTAGCTCAGAGGCTCTACCACTGTTACTGCTGGGCCTTGGCCAGTGGCAGGTCTGTCTTGGAGTCAACTGTTGGGCATGGGGCAAGTTGCTTCTTAGAATAAACATCTTCTCAGAGCAGCCACCCCCAAACTGCCACACCAAAACCTTGCCACACAGACCCAATGTACTCATTGACCCTGATGCTGGCTGCTTGCTCCAGGCTCCTATAAGAGCATTGGTGTTTCAGAAAGGGCATGTATTTTCTACCCTGCATTGAATCTTGGCTAATCAGTCAGCTGGTTTTGAATGTTTACAGGACCATTGTTACTATAGCACCCACACCTGTTGCAGTCCTGAATGTGTTTGTCCTTGTGTGGCCACTCTTACCTGTAGAAGTTCTGTTATCCATGTTTATTCTGTGTAGGTCCAAGCCCATAGTGTGGAGGTGGAAAAAAAGCAGCAAATTTTGATGCTGTGGCCTCCTAACAGGGACAGCTCTGTGTACGTGTCCTCAGTTCCTTTGTCTGTTAGGGCTGTGCTTGCACTGCATGCCTGAACTGACTTTGAACCCAGATAGTGGCATGGCAATCCTCTGCTGTCCCTTTTTTCTTTGTACAAATCGATAGATATCCTACGGAAGGTCAGACAGTTTAGTTGATGTTATGGGGGGGCCTTCACACAGAGAAGCAGGGAAGAGGACGGTTCCCATGCTTGGGTGGAAGGGAAAGCTCCTGATACATGTTTCTACTTTTTATCTGCTGCCTCTGAGACAAGTTTCTTCATGTGTTTCTGTCTTTCTCCTTTGTGCTCTCTCTGTGGAAAGGGTATCCACAGATGCCCAGGATGTTTGGTTTTTATCTAATCCTGTGTGGTTTCTAGACCTGAGTAAAGCAGTATGGGTGTAATGATGTCATCCTATTGCATGTTATGGTACAAGCTTCATTCAGGCTTTTTTGGGCTGAATATTTGGGCTGTGCAGGGGTGGGGCTGACCTGTCCTAGAGGAAAACAACCTTCTCTGCTGTAAAGGGTACCTCAGGTACGCATCCACATGAGGAAGATTAAATACAGGGTTTCACAGATTATAGTTAGTGTTGCTCTCTGGGATCTGCTGTTACTCTGGTACCGATGGGCAGTGCTGTGGGAAGGCTTTTGTGGGATGGTAGGAAGAAGTAAGTGAGATGCTGCTGGAAGGAGGGAGTTGGGTGCAAGGTGGCTGGGGGCAGGGTGGGCAGCAACACGGAGACTGTTCCTTTAGTTGCATGATCACAGAATGGTTTGGACTGGACAAGACTCTTAAGGTCATCTAGCCCAGACCTCTGCCATTGGCAAGGAATGCCTTCCACTAAACCAGCTTGCTCAAAGCCCTGTCTAACCTAGCCTTGAACACTTCTATGAATGTGGCATCCATATCTTCTCATGGGTAATCTGTTCCAGTGTCTTATCACCCTCATCATAAAAAAATTTCCTCCTCTTGTTCAATATAAATCTACCCTCATTCAGTTTAAAACCATCTCTCCCTGAGCTCTGCTGGCAAGGCAGAAAAGCCTGCTATCAAGACATAACTTGCTTTTTTTATGTGGGCTTTGAGATGTGTTTACCTGGGCCCCAGTAGCTTGGATCAAATTGACTTTCAAGCAGGGAATGAGAGGGCAGAGGTTTTCTCAAAATGTGTGCTCTTGTTGGATCAGCATGTTCTCCACAAGGAAGCAGGTGCTGTTCTCTAGCATAGTGTTTGAGCAGCAGAACTTTATTATGTCCACATGAAAGGTAAAAATCAGATCCGGAGCCAATCTGATCTTTCTGCTCTCAAGCTGAGATGTTGTGACTGTTCTGGTAAGGGAAGTCACAGAGGGGTGTGGGTCCAGCTCTACTGAGGTTTAGGTGGGATGTCTTCACTCTAGTACCTGTATCATCTTTATAGGGTCAAGCAAAGCTGGCAATGCCTGTGTCTTCGTGTGTAATTTTTTTCTCGTTTTCACAGTAACTGCCTGAAGCTGCTTGTGTCACTGTCATTAGGTGGGAGAAAAGATGATACATGTTAATGTGCATCAAATATCTTGGTTAACTTTCCTTCTTATTGCTAGCGCAGATGTTCCCACTGCTACCTAGCAGGCATAGGCAGCCTGATACCTATAGAGCACTGATTTAGCGGGAAGTAAGGAGGGCTGTTCCCCTTCTCCCACGTTATGCACCATTAGGCACCAATTCTGATCCCATGGCCACGTGGTTTTTGACACCGTGTTTGTCATAGCTAATCTCTTCTTCCCCTAGCACCATGTGAGAATGGGGGTGTGTTTTGTCAGCTTTGCAGAGGTGAGAATGAGAAATCATGGCTTCCTATGGCCATAAAACTGTTACCTTTTACCCTGCTTTGCAGGAGGGTGTTGGGAGACAGGTAGAACTCATGTATACCGGTTTGGGCAGTAATCTGGTGGTAATACCAGGATTGAGTGTTGGGGATCTACTGTGGGTTTATCACCTCATGGAACTGGCAACGTGACATCCCTGACTTAACCCACAGTCACATCTGAGGTCTGGGCAGAGGGACAAGTTAACACTATTCCAGTACAAACCTTCTTCCTTCCTTCTCCCTCTATCATAGTTGTCTGCACCTTGCAGAAAATACGGCATTGTCCCCACAGCTACTTGGTTTGGAAGGCCAGGAACAGTGTAGGCATGAAATCAGGCATCTGTGGATTCCACCATGGCCTGGCCCTGATGAAAAGAGAAGAAATAATACCTGCTTTAAAAGGATGCATGTCTGCTGCTTGAGATGAGTGGAGGCTGCTATAACTGCTGCAAGGCTCGGTGTGAAATATGCAGGAATGCATCTTGCACTTGGTGATCCAAGCATGGTGTGACTTCTATAGATCAGGATCTATCAAGTGAACTGAAGGAATGTGCAATTTTTTATTGTCTTAAACATTTAAGCTAGTATTTTTATCTCACACTTTATACAATTGTTATAGATGTGGGTATCTTTTGTCATCATATCCCCATCTGACTTAAAAGAAAAGCAAGTGTTTGCATCTTGGGCATGGTTGTTGGATTTCATTAGATGATAGGACTCAAAAGTAAGCAGATCTCAATTGGCACTCACTGACAAACCTAGAGCTGGGTTCTGTGGAGCTGACCTCCACAAACACAGCTCTGGGATAACTGGTGTTCCTGTCTCTGAACTCCTGTCTCAGCTGAAAAAAATAAAAAAAAATAAAAAGTCTCTCTTTTTCTCTCCCTTTCTCTCTCCCTCCTTTCCCTTAATCTCTTGTCTGACAGGGAGCAGAGAGGAAGATCAGGGATGAAGAGCGAAAGCAAAGCAAAAGAAAAGGCAAGTGCACTGACCCCAGCTCTCAGTTGAATGCCTGTAAGTAGAAATTATTCCATCTGTGTTTTAAATACTAGTTTTGATTTTTGGCTACAAATATCTTGTGCAGTAGAACTCTAAAGTTCAATTTTTTGTTGTGGATGGAGTTGTCGCGTTCTGCAATACACTGGGCTTTGTTCTGCATAGTTCTTTCTGTCCTAGACAGGGTCCTGCTGTGTATTCAATCAGGTATAGGTTGTAGCAGTTGAAGTGACAAGGTGAGGGTGGGATTCTTGGGCACTGCTGGAGCCCCTGCTGATCCAGGTGGCAGCGAGAACTGCATCTGTTCCAAGTGTTTCCAGCTTGACCCTAACCTTAGGCTTTAATTTACATTAAAAACATTTTACAACTCCTCACCAAGGCAGCGGCAGCCTTAGGGCTGAGCCTCCAGCCTATCAGCCCTATGCTCACCCTTCTGGAGCAAAGTGGTCCTTGGTAAGTAACTTCAAAGTTACTTTCTGCAGTGTGAAGGATGTGGAGACCTCAGCACTGTCGTATGTAAAGGCTGAGGAGTTTCTTTCTGCTGAGCATCATCCTTTAGCTGCTGCAGATGACAGATCCTGTGCTTGAATGACTAGTTATTCACTAACAGAGCTGCTTAGAGGAAAATGTGTGTCCCTGTTCTTTGTTTGCACGGGGCAGGTGCGTGCTCTCACTTGCTCTGCACCGTGTGCTATTAACAGCCCGACTGGTTCAACAAGCAGGCGCCTCACAGCTTGTCGGGCAGGATTTTCCTGACGCAGCAGGTACAGGCTGCTGGAGCAGCTTCAGAAGAAGATAATGCTATAAGGGAACCCATTTGCTCAAGGGCAGTTGTGGAAAGGGCTGGGTTTTTGTTTTTTCCCCGAAGTACATGGTGAGAGGTAGGTTTAGCACACTGTTAGCATTTCACAAATGAAGTAGCCCCAGAGGCTTTCACAAGATTACTGCACACAGCCCTTTGCGTAATGGCTGGAAAGGGAGGACAGTTTCAATGCACATTTCCAGGATCTTATGATTTTACAAAAGCTACTTTCCATTATTAATTTTCTAGGCTTGGGCTTAGCCTGACGTGACCCTTATTTTCCTGGAAAGTACAATCCTTTGCTCTTTAGTTCTAGTGTGGGAAGTTTTTGATTCCATTAAGCCATAAGCTGTTATACCCACCTGCAGGATCACAAATGACATGTGTGCATGGCCTCATCAATAGCAGAAATAGTTGGTGGCTTTTGGTCAAAGTTATTTTTGAAGGGATTGCTCAATCTTTAAGAAACTCAGTTTTGCAAGGAGAAAAAGGTATATCTTCTGCTGAGGACATGAGAAATGAAGTGGGTTTTTTTGCAAAACACTTTTTTTGTTTGCAGTTGGTTTGACGCTAAATTGATATGTTTCCACTTGGTAAAATGAAGTCGTTAGCTGTGGTAGTTTGACATAAACGTGTCTGAAGTGCAGTTTAAGGCACCTCCTATCTCACTTTCTCTGAATTGGGTCTTTGTGGTTGAAGTCTGCCCTCTTGGTGGCTTGTGTCACGTCAGCTGGTGCATTGTGAGAGCCAAAGTGCTCCTTGGGAGCCAGTGCTGGTCCTTGGAGGAGGTGGACTAGGATCTGGCAGCTTGAGGAGACCAGGATGAACAATGAGATGAACCACAATGTGAAACTTGAAAGTGTGGAATCAAAACATAACAATAAATGTAGCAACTTGCAAACCCCACAATTTGTACTACCTCTGTAGTAGGTAGTGCTCTTGTGATGCTGTCTCTCTGGGAGGTTCCCAACTGGGACCACCTGAGTTGCAAGTTGTCTCCTTGTCTTCTTTCTGCCTTCCTGGTATGGGAACACCAGCAAGCTTTTGAGGGAATGGACAGGGAAAAGGTGGGGCATGGACTAGTTTTTGCCCTCTGTTTGCATGGTTTGCTTGGTACATGGAAAACCTGGGTTCTTCTGTTGGGGTGAGTGACCAGGTTATTCTCCATCCTGCTTAATATCTGAACAAAATCAAGCAGCTCAATTGGAGAGAGAGAGAAAACTTGTACTACTCTGTGAAACAAGCTGTTTCTTTAGGGCCCAGGCCCTCAGTTGAGAGGTAGGCAATCCAAGTTCAAACTCTCACTACAGAAGCTTTTTGCTTTGACCCTGACTACAGAGTACCCTTGTTCAATAGCATATGTGCCTTTTAAATGATGGTGGAAAGCCACAGCCCCATCAGGGCCTTCACTATCCTTTCTTCTGATCTTTGTCTCTGCAGTTTCTGATGTCAAAGTGCCCATGCTTCCCTCACACAAACGTACAGACATCACCATCTTCAAGCCCTTCATGGATCTGGACACTCAGCCTGTCCTTTTCATTCCTGACGTTCACTTTGCTAACCTCCAGCGTGGAGCTCATGTAAGTAAAGCTCATGGGTGTGGGGATGAAGAGGCTCTGGGATGCTGTGTGTGCACATGAAATGTCAGACTGTCTGCATCAATGCTGCGATCAAATACAGGCAGAGTCTCATGTGAGCAAGGGTTGTTGCTCCAAGCTGCATTGGCAGGAGTTAACTGGGGATGTTTTCCTATCAAATTAGTTTCCTATGAAGTCCAGTTTCCATAAATCTGGAAGGATTCTTACATAGCAACTCCACTGAGTGAACTGCAGGCTGGTTTTCCCTGGTAATGCCTGTTGGGATCCTGGTGCACTGTTGTACAGCACAGGCTCCTCCACCCGCCTGCTGCAGGGTGAGAATCCGTCCTGTGGAACTGGCACGTGTGTCAGCTCTGTGATCTGCTGCCAGAGCACCCTGCCTCAGTGTTCCTGGAAAGTTCCAGCTTACAGGAAACTGGAAGGGAAAAAATTAGTGTGCAACCAGGTTTCAAAATCTTGGACTTTCCTGATCTGGGAGTTCTGGTGTGCTCTAATATAATCTAAACTTTACTTTTCTAAGAGCATTGTCTAGCCTCCTAGCAGGGATGGAGGATAAACTTCTGCATGTTTTCCTACAAAGGCCCTAGTGCTGAGGTCTGTCAGAGGACTCTGCACCAGTCCAAGTAGAAGGAGGATTAGCTGTTTTTTATTCCTGTCTCTCTCATTTGAGATCCTTTAATCCTTTTTATGAAAAAAGGTAAAGAAGATGCTTACTGGCTTTTGGAAGATTGATTGAAAGTGTAATTTGATACAGGTTTGAAAGATTATAAGAAGAAATGAATTCTAGTTCTGGATAAAATTTTCACAAAATCTCTCCTTTGTTTTGAAAGGTCCTTCCTGTTGCTTCAGAAGAACTGGAGGGTGAAAGGTAAGAGCTGCCCTTCTTCAACCTACTGATGTCTTGCTCTCAGACAGAGAGGTAAGTCCCTGTAATTGTACAACTGCTGACTTTCTGCCCTGTCAATGACAGCTCCAACCTGAAGAGAGGAGCTTATATTGGTGAAGAGGACTTCATTGCTACTCCGAATAAGATGGCCAGAATAGAAGAGCCAAAAAGAGGTATTTTCTTCTTTCAGTGACTGAATAGTTGGAGTATTTGTCCATTATGATAGAGAGATGCAGCTGAGGTTAAAGAGTGTTTTAATTTATTTTGGTATATACTTCAGCTTGATATCTCTGGCTTTGAGTAGTGACAGTTTGTGTATCAGGATGTAGTTCAGCTCTGCAAACCTTTTAGTGCCAGAATGTTTGGGGTTTTCTGCTGACTCAGACACTAATTGGCTCTGAACCTGTAAGGAAGGAAAGTCAAAAGGAGGTGAGCAGCTTACCAGTCTCTCTAGTGGACTGGGAAAGAGAATTTATCATGTAATCCACTACAAAATCTGGAAATCTGCTCCGGGACTTCAAGAAATACTCAAGAATTGGTTTTAGGTATAAGATTGTTGCATCTTTCGTGGTGCCAGAAAATGGGCTAAGAGAATATTCTGCTGATTTTAACTGTGTTTCAAGCTTTGCAATTTCATGTGGGACTGGATGTTGCTGTGGTGTTGTGGAAGGAGATAAGAGGTCCCTTTGGGGTGGTGGAGATGGTCTACTTGCCTGATTATGGTCATGTGTGGAAGGACCACAACAGAGCTTGAAAGATTAAACTTGTGTTGCAGCAAAGGTTTAGTCTAGCAAGTCTGACCATAATGGGGCTGCACTTCTGTAGTCTGGATAAACTAGTAAGGATTTCATAAAAGGCAATTAGACTTCTTGTTTTTTCATGTTTCTGTATGCCATAAAACAAGACCCATCGGATTCTTTCTCCTTTGACTGGGTGTCATCTGACCTGTGCTGTAACTGAGAGCATGTGTGCTGTCTTCCTTTTTTAGATCTACAGTCCTTCTTTTTTAAACCTGCCTTTAGCCGAGGAAATGCATACAGGTGCTGTGCTGTCCTGAGTTGACCTTGTTCAATTAGAAATGCCAGTAGTTGTTCCCTGTTGCGGGTGTGTCAAAGCTGTGGCTGATAAACCCCTGCAAAGAATCCAGGCTGAAATACCTAGTCATTAGAAGGTGGATTAAAGACAGCAAAGCTGTTAAAGTCTGAGCTTTCTTGCTCTTCTGGCTTATTCCTCAACCTTAACTCAGTTTTTAATGAGGCTAATGTTACATACAGTGACTCTGTGCTAGCTTGAGAACGCTAGGGATTCTCACCTAATTGGGCTTCTTGCTCCTTCATTCCCCTCCTAGCAGGAGACCAAGCCTGTATTGTCCGTCAGCTGTGGTGGTATGAGCATTACTGAAACACAGCAAGGGATAGAAGAGAGATGAGACAGCTAGGAGGAGCAGAGGACTGTACAAATAAATTATTTAAAAATTAGAAGGTGTCCAGGATGGGCTTCACCTGGTGTAGTAGCACCTGTCAGATCATTTGATTGTGCAAAGTCTCGTGGCAGATAACCTGTGAGATACAGAGGAACCCAAGAGTCTCAAAGGTTTGTGTTTTCTCCTTTCTGTATTTCAAGTATGACCTTGTTTCAAAGAACAGAGAAAACACCAAATAGAGAAAATATTCAAGTATTTTGACAATAAAGATGCTTGACCAAGCAATAGCTTTATGTGCAAAAAAAAGTGTGTTTTGAGCTAACTTAGCCGTGCATGTCTGTGATGCAGTCTGCAATGGATATTGAACATATGTCCATCTCTTCATAAAATCCTCAGGATGTGTCACTGTGTGCTTAGCCACTATGGGATACAGATCTTTTTGAGGACCGATTACACAGTTAATTCCTCTGTCCAAATTGCTTTTCAGTGTTGTTGTATGTCCGAAAAGAGTCAGAGGAAGTCTTTGATGCACTAATGTTAAAGACACCATCTCTGAAAGGCCTAATGGAAGCGGTAAGTGACGAGGTTGTTTTACAGTCTTTGCCTCCTACTTGAGAAAGAACGAGTGTAGCCCTGGCTACCCACTCCTGACACACTGGACAGTCACAGGAGTCACACTCTCAATCACAGCTTGTGTCCACATATTTCTGCCCTTCTGGATAAGGAGCATAAGGCTGATTTCCTTTCAATAACATGGAAATTAATTTAAATAATGCTTTATTTCATTATTAAGGGACTTCAGGAAGCTTCTCTTTTGAGCACCTTCTCCCACATCTGTGGGGCCTGGGTGTAAGAAGCCTTCCTGAAAATCCAGGTGTGTCAAACTGGATGTTCCTCTTATCAGAGAGGGTATTTTAGTCAGAAGATGGAGTGATTCTCAGAATGTATTCAGTGGTTTGGGTTTGTTTCAGTCTTTCAAAGCCTTGTTTGGGAGCCTCTCCTCTTGTTTCATAAGCAGTAATTCAGAGCTCCAAGTCCCAGCTTCTGTGTATGCTTGAAGACTGTTACATATCTGTGCATGTGTGAAATTACTCTCTGGTACTTGACTTCCAAAACAGCCTTCCACTACCCCTGCTGCTGCAGTGCAAGGGAAGTACAGAGCTTAAGTCCAAGGAATGGTGTAATGTTTGGCAGGAGCTCAAAACTGACGTTTCTGTCTGTCTCTTTCTGTGACTAATGCCGTGCTGATGCTCAGAGCACAGGAGCTTGGGGCTGTACAGACAGGTCTTACCATGAGCTTTGAGACCCAGAGACGGTTCTGTAACCAGAATCTTTTATCTCTTCCTGGCTTTGAGGCTTTGCCAGCACAGACAGCTAGATTTGGGGGGCTAATGGAGAGAGGGATTGAAGGTTGTGAAATCCTCCCTTGCTCCATGGTCCTGAAATGAAGCTGCACCTTTTTTACACTTGGATTTCTTAAAGCAAGGAACCAAGAGCTCACAGCTGTGGCTTGAGGGAAACTCCGTGTGCTTTTTCTGCATGCTGAAACAGCATATTGGTTTGGTACTTGCTGTTGGTGTGATAGAGCAATTTGCCAAAGTAAACCAGGCTTAGGTTACTGACCTCCTGACTTTATGGGGTGCAGTGAGGTGCCATGGTCAATTGGCTGTGGTTTCACGCTGACATCACCTTGCTGGGTAAGGGGAATGTTTCTGATCACCTTGTGCCCTTAGCAGCAGAGAGCTTCACTCTGCTGCTATTTTCTTCCTGCACCACCTGCTGTCATGACTAGTTTTCACTTGATCCCTCTGGCACTGAACTTAAAAATGTGTTTAAGTGTAAGAGAACAGACAGTCAAGAGAGAATGAGAGTCAGGGTGTGGAGAGGGTTTTTAATGCATTGGCTTTTGGGTGTAGGGGCAGGAGGTTGCTGTATGAGAAGTCAGTGGCCAGGTTTCAAACATAATTAAATTTTTTTCACAGAAGTTGGCAAACAGCAGAGGAGGGTTTCTCATCTGTAGGCTTATGCTATAAGTCAGGATTTAGTGTTACCTTTATAGAGCAGAGCAGTTGTCTTCATTTGCAGGCTTTTTTTTTGTTGTTGTTCCTTTCTGTAAAATAGGAAGGGGAGAATGGTGCCAGCAGTCTTCTTGCCTTACCAGTGATTGCTGTCTTTCATTCTAGATATCTGACAAGTATGACGTTCCTTTTGATAAAATAGGAAAAATCTTCAAAAAGTGTAAGAAAGGGTGAGTATGTACCTATGCAAAAACTGCTTAAGAATATGAACACCTTTTTTCAAAACTGTAGGCAGGTCTGCTTTATAATTCCTCATACACTGCACATATGTGAAAGCCACGTGCAGTTATGTGTGTGTGTGCACAACATACACACATTCCAACATCATTCCTAGAGCTGAAGACTGGAAGACTATAGGAAGGGTGCTAGAGAAATGTGTAACTTCCTGGGTAAATACAAGTCATAGAACCTCTGTGAGCTAATTGTTAGTTGAACCGAAGTTGATCATGTCAGAGGAAGAAGAGTTCAGTTTGTTTAAAGACTCACAGTGATGAAGAACCTCCTTCAATGCATGTTAAATTGTTCCAGTGTTGATTGTGCTCACTATATCTGCATTTGGCTACAATAACTACACCTGGTTTTCTTTTTTGTGGGCTCAATTGAAGAGAACTTTATTGTGTCTTTTTCTCACAGAGGCCACATTCCACCATGTTTTCATTTTGTGGTATAAATAATGGAATTCACTTTTGCTTTTCTTTTTAATTTCTCAGTAACTTTTTGGGTTTTTTTCTAAAGTCACTTTGATGTTTCAGCCCCTTCACCAAAGCCCTTCTGGCCAGAAAATTATATCTTTCAAGGATTGTACTTTTATAGCAGAATTACCCCACTGGAATAGCTGCAAGTTTAGAATTTATGGCACCTAAATCACTGCTAAGCACAGCTTTGTATGCATGTGTGCCCACAAACACACAGGTATCAGCCTTTCTGGCAAATGGAAGAAGTGGTCAAGTATTGGTGGTTTCTTCCCTGCAAACTCTGTAGGGTTTTGTGCTGATAGTTTATAAACTGTCAAGCAAACCCATTAAGAGCCCCAAGTGTCTGCAGCTCCAGAAGGATTTCTGCCAAGATCTCTCTCCCTTCCTGGTGCAGGAGCCTGGTTTAACCCTTCCATCCAGACCCTAAAAGTGTGGTTGCAAGTTTTGATGGCAGGTTTAGGTAAGGACAGCCAGATCTGCTATAGGAAGCAATGAGTCAGAGAGAGGTGAGCAGGGATCTGGTGTTACCCCTGGATAGTCCAGGCTTTCTGAGGTTTGAGGGTGCCTTTGCTGTCTTTGGCATTTAGAACTGTAATATATCTAATCTGTTTTATTTTTCCAGAATTCTGGTCAACATGGATGATAACATTGTGAAACACTACTCTAATGAAGATACCTTCCAGTTGCAGATTGAAGAAGTTGGAGGATCTTATAAGCTCACTCTGACTGAGATCTAAAATCACAGATTCTCTGTGGATTTTAAACAAAAGTCTCAAGTGAACACTTTCCCATAATTCAGCACGTTGGGCAAAACACTAATGACCTTCTCCAGAAGAAAGCCATGTGTTGACTTGTTCTGGGGAGCAGAGCAGTGGTTTTGCTTAATACATTTGTGTTTCTGTTCTTGCTCATGACCTTATTTGCACTTGAAATGAGCGAGCAAAGATCTGCAATTAAATGGAGAGCATGTATATATTTATACTAGTGTATAAAACACTAGTAAATACAGGAGGGTAAAACTCCTGGAAGGTGGCCTTTTAGACTGGTGATATCTTATTTATCTATTCAGTAACCATGTTTGAGCCCATTATCAGCTAATACCATTTTACTGGACTGTTTTCTGCTAGGTAGAGCTGCACAACTACTAATTGATATTAGTAGGAGTTGCATGCAGGTTGGACAAAAGTCTTTATAATGTTTACTTGTGACCAGGGCAGACTGTTGAAATCATTTGTGTCACTGGGGGGGGAACATAAAACTGCCTTGCTTATGAAGAACTCGCCTTAGTAACTGTGTGAACTCTCATCAGATGAAGCTATATTGTATATAAGTGCAATATATTTTTGAAGGTTTGTAAATGTGTACATACAAGTGATATATAATATATATAAAATATGGTGTTCTGTATATACCGTGAATATATGCAACGAAGCCCATCTAAAAGGATGCCATATACAGAGAAAACATATTTAACATAGATATTTAAAAATGGACAAACCCTTAACATGCACCAAAGGTGAGCACACGTTTGTACATTCATAGGAGGCACAAGGGACCTGCTTGTTCAACATGGATCTTCCTGTGTGGGAGGAAAACAGTACTGGCTCTCTCCTAGACCTTCCTGCACAGCCAGGTGATGGCAGGCCTAGCTTCTCTTAAGAACTGCCACTTTGAAACAGCTGGGTACTGCTGCCCTGGGAGGTAATTTGGGCCAAGTTTGAGAGTTGGGTCCCAGGAGGAGCTGAGCAGATGCAGTTCCCTTGAAGTCTCACTTCTAGGGGTCAGGAAGGTGGATTTTTTTATTTTTGGTAGCAGTGTACTTAACGGCTCAGCTGGATGCTGCCCACGCCAGCAGCTCAGGCTGGATGAACCCATGGGCTGGTGCCAGCTTGCAAAGTCCTAGGATGTCAACAACTGGAAATGCATAGGCAAGGTTTTTGAGAGAGGAAGGTGGCATCATGGCTCAGCAGGCCAAGCATTAGCAAGGAGTAGGGCCTGCAAGCAGGTTACACATTCCTGGTGTCTGTGCATCACATGGACCCGCTGCTGAGCTGGAGAGACCACACAGCAGCAGGCACCTTGAGCCTAGAACCAGCTGGGAGTGCCAAACACCTCTAAAAGATACTGCTCTGCACTATTTACTCTTTGTGTGCATGTGCTTATGAAGGAAAGGCACCCTCTGGTTAGTAGTGAGGGAGGAGCATTTAAACAGCAGTACTTGGCTCTAAGGCAAAACTGTGCATTACATGGTAAGCAGATGAATGTGAGTGCCATGTCCAGTGTCAAGAGATTTTATTAGGGATCTGGATAATGAAAAGGGTTTATAATGTTTTTAGATGGCACAAAGCTTCACGTGCCTCACTTAGGACATGAAGGTCAACCTGTAAAGCCTGGAGAAATAGTCCAGAAAAGTAGGATATGATTCTGTTTAATAATTAATGATTCCACTTGATAGTTAACTAATCATAACCTAAATTGTTTAGCTCTGTCATGGTGCTGTTTGGAAGAGGGAGGTAAATGCCACATTGAGTTGATCAGCAGGAGCATGGCCTGCAGGAAATCAGAGATCCACCTTTTGCCCTACTTGGCATCGCTGAGGCCTCTGCTGGAGAGCGGTGGCCTGCCAGCAGAGCCTGGTCCTACTGGATGTCTCAGAGAGGCCAAACCATCCGGTCCTTCAGGCAGAGCTCGTGGCTTCTGAAGTGGAAGGGCTGGATGATTTGGCTGGTTAAGAGTCACATTCAGAAGGGAAGGTTGATGGGAGCAGCCTCCCAAGCTGTGGAAGTGTTCTCCCCATCCGTTGCAAGCACAAGTAGTGGGTGTAATTTGCAGAAATTCAGGTCAGGTGTCGAGGCAGTTTCCTCTAGTGAGAAGAGCAGGTTGCTCAGGTGGTTTGGCATTGGAGGTCTTCAGAGCCAGGCTGGGCAAAGGTATCTCTGGGCTGTCACAGGTGTAATTGATTGTCCCTTGGTGCTGAGACTAGGTGACCACTTCAAGTCCCTCGCCACCTTATCTTTCAATGATTTACATGAAATACAGTATTTTGGGATTTGTATTTGGATCAATCCTGAGCTGGTTCATGGACCACTCCATTCCCCCCTCCTTCCTTCTCCTCCTCTGTTGATGGGCCCACCAGAGGGCCGACGATACTCTGGGCACCACGTGCTCCCCTCTTTGCTCTGTGGCTGGAGTTGAGCAAACTCCACATGGAGGCATCTATGACCGTGGGCATGTGGACAGAACCCATGGGCTCAAAGCCGAAGGAGAGAAGCTGATGTGCAGCACAACATGCAGAGACTTGGCCAATACCTGCCACCCCATACAGGAATCCACCGCCTGCAGAGCAGCCACGGGACTCGCCAACCCGCCGCTTGGGCTTCCCTTCATCAGTCACGGGAATAATGTTACTATGGCAAGGGAATTTTTTTAAAAACCTGATATATAGAATACATATATATATTTACACATTTTTATTGAAAATGGAAGTTTTATTACAGAAACTCGGTCTAGGGTCAGGGAAATAGATTTTAGAGTCTCCATAGAGGTAAGATTGACATGAATGTTATTTCTTTTTACTACTTAATGAAGTATGTGAACTAAATCTGACGATTGTTTTCCACTATAAGATACTCTGGGACACGGGTCTTATAACAGTAGCAGCAATGTCATGTATGTTTTATGAAACTGATTTTTTTTGTTTTGCTTGCTGTTTTTTAATTGAAAATGTATTTTAAACCAAGCTATTAAATTTTTTATGTTCATTTCTAATTATGACTCTTTTATATAACAAACACATCTGCTCTTATTCTTTTTTTTTTCCTTTGACAGGGAATTTGTAAAACACCAGTGATCATTTCCTTGTTTTTTTGCAAAAAAAAAAAAATAATCCCAGTGTCAGCCTTGATGCTGTTCCTGCGTAAGAAATGGTCAGTCCTGTTCTCACTCCCTGCTTTATTTCAACTCATTCATTTCAATTCATTTTGCATTTGTGGGGAAGCTGTGCAGCGTTTTGTTTGCATAGGACCCTTTGGCAGGAGAGCAAAACATCCATTGGTAAGCTCCTGTGGGCAGGTGGGTCAGTGATGCTTGGTGGCCGCTGCTGGAGGGCCATTGCCACCTTCTGGGCCCTGTGCAGCAGTGGATGGGCTCTGCTGTCTCTGGAGATGTGGAAGATGAGGTGCGGGCTGACAGTGGTGCTGGCAGCTGTCCCTAGCTGCCAGTCCACGGTGCTTCTTGAAACTTCCAGCCCACAATCTCTACAGGGAGAAGTGGATGTCCCTCCAGGAGGAGCTGGTTGTAATGGCTGTAATGTAATGTAACTTCCTGGGAGGCGCGGGAACCACTGGTGAAGCTGCAGGTACTGACTTTCCCAAGCTGAAAACAAAATTCGTGCTAATATCTCCAAGATAACCCTAATGCCGTAGTGTCTTGGGGGGTTCACCTCTTCTTTTCACTGTCAGAAAATGTCTCAACAAGCTTTTGCTGCAGCTGGCTCCCCAGCCCCTGCAGCGGTGCTGTCCTGGGGCAGATTCTGTGCCGGCACCTTCCCAGCTCTGGGTTTGCATCAACATGCCCAGGGCTGGGTGGGGAGCAGCGTGGGTGGCAGAAGATTTCTGGGGTAGGAAGAGGCAGGTAAACCTTTTATTTATTTCCTTATTTATTTCTAGTTCCTATGCAGGCTGTGCTGTAGTTCTGTGTCTCAGATGTAGGAGTATGCTGCAGCGTGTCACCTGGCGAGTCATGGCGTGCCTTGGGTGGCGCACAAGTGCTGGGGGATGCCCTGTGTCATCTCCACCTGAGTCGGTGTCACTGACAGACTGAGCAGGGTGTTGCCCTCATAAAGTTGGTGTGTGGCATGGTGGCCTTATCACAGCAAACCTCAGCATGAGGCTGGATGGGCTGCAGGGCCGGCTGTGAAACCTCCTCTCCCCTTGGTGTGTGACACCATCATTTTCCTCAGCCTTTCTGTGGTGTACACGTGTATGTCTGTGCCAGCCCTCCCTCCTCCTGACACACTGTCAGCCCTTTTCTATTCAAGTGAGTTTAAAGGAAGTGAAGGTGAGCCCCCAAAGATGCAGTTTTGAACTCTCAAGGCAGTCAGACTTCCATGGAGATCCGTGCATCTTCCTTGGGGCGTGACTCGGGGCTCTACTACAGCAAACATTTAGTTAGGCTTTTAAGATCTGACTTTTCTTATGGGAAAACTGAATTCACATTAGTCTCCAGCTTCTTGATGGAGCTTTTGTCTATTAATTGCAAAACCTTTTTGTAAGAGCATGGAACTTAGATGCTCCTCTATTTGGTTTGTTTGTACTTTAGATCATTTGACTTATGATTAAATTATTAAATATTTAGACAAAACCTCAACTAGATTAATTGGTCCAATATAAGAGTTCTTATACTTTTTTTGATGTTTGTCCTTGGACTACCCTACTTTCTTCACCCTACCTTTGCATAGTTCACAATGCTGTAGAAGGGATATTTGGCTTTTTTTTTTTTTCTCCTTCAGTAGCTGCTGTGGCTGGGGTGATTTCAGGGTTTTTGGCGCATCTCACAGTTTCTTGTTTGCTTAGGGCAGTGCCCCACTGACCCACTGATCTGTTTGCCTGCACACACAGCTCATGGGACAGCCTCTGTGCCCGCTGCCTCAAGCGTTATTTATTTGCTGTGTCCAGCGTGGCCATCCCACAGGCTGCAGGTGCACATGCAAATATCAGCTGGTGACCAGTGTCAACAGAGCTGAACTTGTGTGCCCCTGCTGCAGTGCTGGTCATCTCAGGGAGCATCCCGAGCCTGGAACTGGCCTGCAGGCCACTCACTGCCACCACAGTTTGGGAAGCACACACCAGGCAGAGGATAGGCATGTGCTGAGCCTGGCAGCAGCTCTAATGAGTGAAAACACGGTGGAGAAGTGTGCTTGGGGATTTGGGACAGCCCTGGGCTCAGGGATTGATGGCAGTGAGGAATGATGGAGCATGCTGGGTGGGTGGCTGCTGCCACCAGGCTGAAAGGACAGTGTAAATTGGAATGAAATTTGGAGAGGTGGGAAGTGACATGGGAAGAGGCAGGTGAAGAGAATCCTGTGCTTCCCAGCACCAGGAAATTCAAGTCCTAGGGTTCTTCAGTGCCCTGTGGGTGAGGAGAGCCAGAGCCCCAGCTGGGCAGTGCTGGCCCTGCCAGCCTGTTGAGTCTGCACGCCCAGCTTCTGAGCTTGGTGGTTTGGGGCAAAGAGGGTGCAGCCCTGCTGCCACTGCCCAGGAGTTTGGATTCAGCCAACTTGCCTGCTCCAGCCATTGGCATGTGCCCAGGCAGAGCCTGGTCCCCTGCCTGGAGAGATGTGTTGGCTGGAGCAGCTGCTGTCCACAGAGACTGCTCTGGGGACAATGTTCAGCCCTGCTCAGGGGGTGACAGGTGCGTGGGACTGCGGCACAGGAGTGCAGGGATTGGCACTGGCTCTGCCAGGTAGCTGTGCCAGTGGCACAGGGTTTGTTGCCAGTGCTTGGTTTGATGATGCTTCTAATCTTCTTGTGATAAGATTATTCTTTTTCTGAAGTAATTGCATGACCTTTGTAAATTAAGAAGTAAATAAAGGAAAAGTGATCACACAGTAGTCAGCTCTGCAGATTGTCTCTCCACGATCTCTGCTACTTCTCATTTGAAATGCTTTAAGCCTGTCAGCCAGTGCTGGCCAAGGGTTTTTGGGGGGCAGCAGTGCTGGGTCCCCCATCTCGTGGATGTCCTAAAGGGCCCAAAACCAGCCCTTGCTCTTCCCACTTGCTTCTGCTCTGTGTGCTTAAAGAAGAGCCCAAGCTGCAGGGAAGAGGCTGATCGAGACTTGCTGCCTACAAAGCCCCAGGTCAGGGTAATGCGTGAGACAAAAGGAGACAGTTATAAAATCAGCGATGGCAAGCTAAAAAAAAATCCATTACTGCTTAAATCATCTCTTGCTGTGCTGTGTGGCCATTCCCAAATGAGCTGGCACCTCCTGGCAGTCCTGTCCAGAGCTTTGCCTGTGAGTGACCCCCCAGCCTGGCCTTAGCAGGGGCTGAGCTGTGCCTGTGGGGATGCTGCCTGTGGGCTGCCCCAGCTCACCAGGGGTGATGGTTTTGATGAGAGAAGGGCTCAAATCCACCACATCGCTGTAGAGACACAGCTTGTCCCTGCTCATCTGTACGTGCTGAGAGGCCAGGAACCACCCATGGCCAGCAGCACACCCAAGATCCCATGCTGACTTTCATTGCTTTACATTGCTTCAAAATTTTAAGCCTCCCTTTGGGAACTGCAGAGGAAATTTGAAAGATGTCTTAAGAGGAAGAAAAATGATGATGATTTTGATCCTAAATCACTTCCCTTTGCTTTTTTTTTTTTCCCTTCAGGTCCATCTTTCAATTCTTAAGTGCTCGGGGTTAATGATGCTCTTCAACACCATCAAATTGTGCAACATTTAATTTCTTGACAGAATTTCCCCCTGTTGCCCTGCTTCGAAAACCCTTTCTCCTCAAGGCTTTCTTCACGCTGCATTACATCTATCCATTACCCCGCTGTTATTTTGCTCCAAAGGTACATCTTGAGGCTTTTATGAAGCATATTTGAGCTCCCTGATGACAGCGCTCGGGCAGATGTAATACAGAGTGACAGACCATGTGAATGCCATAAAATGCAGAGATAGCAGGTGGAAATCTGGCTGGGGGCACCTGCCTGGCTGCAGTGGTGCTGGGATGTCATCCCCTGCTGAAGGAAGAAGGAGGACCTGACCTGAGCTGGGGCAAAAACTAAGCTGTTGTCTGGGCAAGTGTGTGTTTGGCACTGAATGGAAGCCCAAACCTTCAGGTTAAGGTATTCAGGCAGGATATTCACAGCTCAGCTTACTTCAGTCAATCCCTCGGGAGAAAAGGAGGGGTGGTACTTGTGGAGCAGAAGGAGCTGTGACCAGGGCTCAACCATGAGGCTGGACATTACTGGGTGTGTGGGGAAGGTTTTGGGATAAAAGCAGTGTTTCTCCCCAGTCCAGGGCCTTTCCCATCCAGCAGAACTATGAAAGTTCAGCCTCAGACTACTCTTCACAGGTCACTGCGTTGTTGGGATTGGAAGGGATGTCTGGAGGGCATCAGGTCCAACCTCTTTGCTCAAGCAGGGCCACCTGCAGCCAGCTGTCCAGATGGCTTTTGAATATCCCCAGGGACAGAGATGTCACAGCCTCCCTGGGCAACCTGTGCCGCTGCTGGGTCACCCTCACAATGACGAAGTATTTCCTGATGTTCAGAAACTCCTGTGTTTCAGTTTGTGCCTTTGTCTTGTGAAGGTGTGTGGTGGGTCTCCTGAAGGAAATGGTACCAGGAGATCAGAGATGAAGTGGTGAATTTTGGGCTGCTTCAGATGAGCTGCAGCCATGGGGAAGAGAGGTGGAGCAGCCTAAAGTGGGGCGTGCACCTGGGGGTATCAATGGACAACATTCACCCCTTGGAAAAGCACTGCAAGGCATGGCACCAGCTCATTTCTCTGATCTGTTGGCACCATGGAAGGATGCCCAAGGGGAAAGAAATCAAGAGTAAAGAGCATTGCCTGTACTCACAAAGGAAAAATAGCACAGCTACAAACAAGAAGAGCTGCAGCCCAGAACTGGAACCTGAGTTTATTTCACATTAGTCATCTTGTTGCACCTCTTAACATCCTGAAGAACTGCAGCAGCGGAGAGGAAGTGCACACCCAAGGCTGATGTAAGGATTTACCCATGC